ATTAATTTTCTGTTGAACCACTAAGCAATTAACCAGCCAGACAGGCTAAATCATCAGAAATATATAGTTTGAAATGTTTTGACCTCCTCGTCCTGTCTGATGTAAAAATGTAGTTTAGATGTGACATAAGAGGTAAACTACAGCTGTGTTCATGGTGATTTGTCTTTTTGTAAATAAATGACTCTTCTGAGAGGCTTTACCAGAAGTAGCAGTTGTGTGCAGTTCACTGTCAGCCAGGGAAGCAGCTCAAAGCCTCACATTTTACTAATGTCATAGATTTGAATGTTGATTTGCTGCTGTCACAGATATTTAACTGTTTCGTCTCAGTCCATATGACACTAATGTGAATGTGTAATGTCTCTAAGCTGATGTGATCTTTTGGGATCTTTGCTGTAAAATTACTCATATAAATGCTCAGGTTTGTATTATAAGTGTGTTACAGAAAGTGTTTGACTGCGGCGTTTGCAGGCCAGGAGGTGGAGTGAGGGAGTTAAATAATGACATTAGTCCTCCCTCTAGTGGTCTCACCTGCACAGTGAACATATGCAGTACACGCCAACCACTGTGTATACTGTGTGCAGGTCATTTTTATTCATTCAAAACAGACTTTAAAGTGAGAGAGTTATTTTGTCAGTGTGTTTAAAGGAGCCTCATACCATTTCCACAAACTGATGGGTCCAGTATTTTTTTTCTGTTTTTCTTCTCAGGGAGCAGAGAGGAAAATAAGGGACGAGGAGAGAAAACTGTTCCGCAAGAAGTCGAAAGGTTTGAGCTTCACGAGAATTTTGTATTGTGTCAAAATCAGAGGAAAGTAAAGGTCTGGAGGGGTAGAAAAAGCTCTGATCTGTTCTTTTCTAAATCCTCTTTTTTTATTCATCTCCAGGGAAGGACGGAGGTGTAGGCGTGATAACCGTTCCCAAAAAGTCAGATACCACCTATTTCAAGACCATGAGCGACCTGGAGGCTCAGCCTGTCCTCTTCATCCCTGACGTTCACTTTGGCAACCTGCAGAGGGCTGGACAGGTGCGTCACCTCCACAAACATCACATCATCGTATCTGTAAACAAAAGTGAAAGAACCAGTTTTTATCTCCTGAAATTGGAGCCACAATTCACTCATCAGAAAGACCTGATGGCTGCATTTCCGCTCCAGATCAAAACATTCAACACGTTTTTCTGGTTTTAGAAAACATTCGTTAGTGCCGATTCTTGCTTTCCTCCGGAAACATGACCAACAATATGAACCGCAGCCTTTGAAGAATTTGTCATTATGTATTAAATATTGTTGCAATATTTTCATTTGTTCATTTGTGTTCTGTTTGATTTATTTCCAGGTGTTTACCTTCAACACAGAAGATATTGAGAGAGAAGGGTAAGTGTGCATCACCAGGAAATATACATTTTCATTTACATCAGGTCAGACAAATATAACTTATGCAAATGAACGCAGGTACAGATGCCAAGCTCGTACAAAAACCCCACATATGCAAAGAGAGTTCATATGACATGTTTGTTTTTGTGTGTTTTCAGGAGTGTGCTGGTGAAGAGGATGTTCAGGCCGTCAGATGAAGATCTGTGTCCTTCGCCTCACAAACAGATCAAAGAGGAAACGCACAAGAGAGGTACAACATGGCCGCTTCCTCTTCCCTCTGCATGTCAATTTAAAAAAAAAAAATTCTCTTTCATCTTTTTCACTAAGCTTCAAGAAATGATCCAGTCCAAGAAGAGCTGAACTGAGAGCTGGGAAATATCTGCCTCAGTCTGATTTGAAATGAGAGAATGCAAACCAGACATTTCTCATGATTTATAACTTTATTTATAACAGTATTTATAACAAATCAGATCAAGATCAACAGACAAATTCTGGTGATAAATTAGTCCTAGAACTATTATTTTCCTTATCGACCAATTTTTTATCAGTTGACAAAACAGTCTCCCCCACGATGTACGTTAAGCAACTGTTTGCAGCCTCTGATTGACTCACACCATCTTCTGTAGCAGATGCAGTTTGCCTGTTTGTCATAGAATTGTGGATTATGTCTCTGATTAATCAATAACTTTTTTAGTGCATAAAATGTAAGAAACTGTGAAAAATGCAAGTTGCAATTGTACACAACCCAAGGTCAAAAACTCAATTTACAATTTATAAATCATCACATTTGAGATGCAGGAAACTGTGAATGTTTGGCAATTTTGCTTCATGACAAAAAAAAGTTTTCTTCAGATCTTTGTATTTATTAATTGACTGATTCTGATGAGAATAAGACATCACTTTGGGTCATTTGTGATTAGATTGTCATTACTTCTGGCCATATAGTTTGCTGAATAATCAATTAAAAGAAAAAGAAATCTAAATATTACTCAATAATGACCATCAGATCACCAGGATCTAATATTCATGTCTCTCTTTAAAGTTGCACAATACAGTTTGTGCTTCAAACATGTGTATGAATAATAGAAACTAATATTACAGCTAACATAAAAGGCCTTTTTTTCATTCCTCTCTTTCTCTGCAGTTTTGTTGTACGTAAGAAAGGAGACTGAAGAGGTGTTTGACGCTCTGATGCTGAAGTCTCCCACGCTCAGAGGCCTAATGGATGCTGTGAGTGATGCTTTTCCATTTTCATGTGAGAGTGAGCGCATTTTGTTTGCAGCTGAGCAAACAAATTGTGCTCTTGACAGACTGTTTTCATTTCTCATTCGTAGATATCCGAGAAGTACGGCGTGCCCACAGAGAGAATAGCCAAAGTGTACAAGAAAAGTAAAAAAGGGTGAGTGGAGTAAAGAAATCAATACATGACTGTCATTTCCCTGTTTTTAATGCAAGCAGATTAGAGTTTTAGGAGCTTTCACGTGTGCACGTTAAACTTCAAGTTTCCTTTGTGTTTTATGTCAGGATCTTGGTGAACATGGACGATAACATCATCGAGCATTACTCCAACGAAGACACCTTCATCCTCAACATCGAGAGCCACGCAGACGGCTACAAGGTCACGCTGACAGAGATCTGACAGCTCGTGAAAGACTGCGGGATAAGACAAAAGAGATGCTGTGACTGCTGGTTGGCTGAAATCTACAAGGCTGCTATTGACTGGCTGATAAGCTGACTGACACTAGAGACAGTCCATTGGTGGTGTTGCTGTGAGACCACCTCTGATCACCCTGACACTGTTACACAATGAAGCAAGTCGTATTGTCTGTGCAGGAGGACAATGATATAATAGAAAGAGGATATTATAAATTTTCTCATGAACTCGCTATAACATCCTCTGTGTTGTAAGGTGAAATGATGCCGCACAGATCCATGCCCTCCACTTTTTCTGAATATTTTTATTGTATAAAAGAATTTTTATGTTTATTCTCATTCTGTACAGTGTGTTTTTGTCTTTTTGCCAAATAACACATCAGGAGTAGCCTCGAAACGCCTGATGTAATGTATGTAGCCACAGCTTGAATTAGTTGGTCTTAAGTAACTTAGCAGCTTCTTTGCATGCCAGCCTTTGCGTTTGTTAAGTGTATTATTATTTATTAATACTATAATTGATTTTTTTTTTTGCATTTCTTTCTTTCTGGCTTCAAGTTTTTCCAAGAATTTCAAGTACTTTACATTTCAGTGACTTTCCTCGTAGCCACCCTCTTTACTCAAGGAGTTTTTTAATGGCATATCCCTATTTTTCAGCCTGTTGTAATATTTACATTTCAACAAATGGCCAAAGTTTTTATTTGTAGGACTTTAAATGACATGATAATGACTAAAAAAAAACAAACACTGTATACAACTTCTGAGGGGTGACAAATGGCACTTGGTTGTTGTGTGTCTCATGTGGCTGTGTTGAAAAATGAATAAAGATATAAACATACATGTCATGCTTTGGTAAAACTAGACCATGAGTCTACTGCAAGCGGCAGTTGTGTGAGGTTGTACCGTTTCTTGGAGCTAAATGCTAACATAATGATGTTCAGCAGATATACTGCCCTACAACAGCAAAGACTACAGAAATGATTAACATAAGAAAAAAAGATTTTTTAAGTTTTCAGGATAACCAACAAACTGTAGCAAGTAGAAAGTTTGTAATGCCTTCATTTTGTGCATTTTAAGGCAACTTAACTTCACCAAATCACACAAATTCTACTGTAGGGTCAAAAGCTAACATGGCAGTTAGTGACTGCTATATTCTTCTAAGCTAGGTTAGTTATGTATTAGCCAAACTTGTTTAGCTGCTTTTTAGACAGAGAAATTAGATAGAAATGTAGCTACTGTTCCATTAGTCATGTTGTCTATCAAACTGAAACACCAAGATGTCTATTTATCAAATAACACATTAGTGAGAGAGCTCTACTCAGCTAGCTTTCAGTTAACATAGCTGTAGCTCTCTTGTTTTAGCCGTCTAGTTGGTTGTGGTTTGGTTTTAGATTTATTTTGCCGTGGTTCTTTTTACATAAAGTCAAATTCTACATTTCTATGGTTTGTTTTTATATTGTAAAAGAAATGTCAAAGATTCTGTTCTCAAATTTCACCAAAAATGCCTTAATAAGCATGTTTGCACGCTAACATTTCATAATTAACACTAAACTAGAGCTGCAGCTGATGCAAATGTCTTTATTTTTGCAGCAAATATTTGGTCAGAAACCAAATCTTGAACAAAATGAAAATCCCACAATGATGCAATGAAAGTTTTGGAGAACATGAATGTGTGAAGCAAATTCAACTAGTTGCTGCCATTTCCCTCAAAAATGACTCCACAAATGTGATGTGAAGGTCATGGGGGCACCAGAGGAAAGGTCAAGAGACATTAGATTTCATCTTCTGGGGACCATGAATATTTGTCCAAAATTTCATGGCAAAACTCCCTTTAACATATTTCAGTTCAAAGACCAAAGTTGCGCTAACTCACCAACAAGCTAGAAATGTCCTGAGTTAGAATTATATAAATATGTCAATCAGAAGTTACATTACACCTAGAGAAAAGACAGACAATCAACCATTTCCCCATTTTGCCTTTATTTGAATAACAAAATGGACATCCTACACAGAACACATATTGCAAGTTAACAATACAAAATCTACAAAATGATACAGTGACAAAGTTTTTTTGTTCGACAGGTATCAACTGTACAGTATAAATGGATACAATACTGTGTTTTTTCTTTTATTCATTCACCTATATTTGGCACTTGACCACAAGATGCTACTGAAGTGAAATGTGGGGCTGAAGTACCAGATCACCTACTTGAAAAGTCCACAGAATTTACTACAACTCTTTTTTCACCCCCAATGTCCTTGTTCATCCACCCGTGAAAAATCACTGAATCTCATGTTGTTTTCAGAGCAGCAGGGACAGACAGGTGTAAATCACACAGGATGGAAATAGTTAGGAGCAATCAGTAAATCCTGGAAATGGACAGTGAAGTTTGGTGGATGTGGCCATTACTCACTACCAACATCAGAGCTTTGTTCTGCCAGTTAAGTTGCTGTTACTGTGTGTCGTAGTCCTAAAAATATCTGTCATCTCCATCATCACAGTGGCACCAAATTGGTCTTACAGTTACAATTGTGCTATTTTTGAAATGTTGTGCTGATGAGGAAAAAAGTGCACATTCAGAACATGGATGTCACATTTGCACAAAAACATGATATTTTCAGACATTACCGTTGCACTTTAAGTATATGATGTGAGATTTTACAAACTGTTAACGCACAGTATATGAAAAACTTCATGACTGCCAATGTTTGCAGGCTTCCTGGGATATATGAAGTCCACATTGGGGAGTTTGGGATCAAACTGTGAAATCTGAAGCTATTTTCTTTGTCAGAAGGGGAAAAGAAGCTACATAAACTACATGTAGCAGATAATGTTCAAAGCTGGATGCATAGCAATATCTGTGGTCCTCTCCTTTTTTTTAACATCTCTAGCATAAATATGAGTGAATATACTGTACAACTTTCTTTCATATATTTGTCAAGTAAAAGAAAATAAAATGTTAATCATCACATTCCAATAATTTATACGTCAAAATGTTTAAAGTGAATCTCTTCCACTGCAGCAAATCACCACAATGTTATCACAGAGTAAAAGAATATATAAGTACATACTATATATTCATAAAACATCTAACATTTTTGTTTTTGCTTATACATTTGTTGAACCATAGTTGAAGAGAGAGAATCACAGCTCGGTTTCAAATGTATATGTCAAGTTCATGTATTCATCAGTGAAGTGAATGTGTGAAAATGTGCGTGAAGTGTGTGTATTTGTGTGTGTTTGTGGACACAAAACTTGGCATAAAAAGTCACTTTCAAAGAACAGATGGCGTAATCTGTAGTCAGAATATTCCCCTTCATTTAGAAATCTGAGTCAGTTTTGGTTTGATGTAACATTCCTCCAAAATATACATTAAAAACAAGTCTTTCATCCCTTCTAAAATTCTTCTATGATTAAAATCAACATTTCCCAGATCTCCTGTCTACATAGCCATTCTGTAAGCTGTGAACACTTGTAGTCCCAGACTCACATACTTCATTTCATCCAGTGTCAACATGGAGTTAGATTGTAATACTTTGTAAAGATCTGTCCGTTGTCACACAACAACCCAAATCAGTTAGATAGAACAAAATGAGCATGATTCCTTTAAATCAGGAATAATGCTTTCAAAAATAACAAATAAAAGAAATAAAAAGAAACAGCGAACTTGGATTCGGCTCAACGTACCTCACGAATCTGTTGGATTATCCTCGCTGGCTGTCCTCTCAGACAGAGATAGCACAGCAATGATTCAGTGTTTAACAAGTCCTTGATGGGATTTCAGTCCCTGGAGTTATAATTGTACCATATATGAGACCCATGTTGTCTGTAGCTTTTGACTAGACATAGAGGCGCATGTAAAGTATGTGCATGTGAGTGTGTGAAAGATTATATATGCATCAGGCTTTGGTATTTGTAGTATGTAGAGTTGCATGTCATCTGCGTGCGTGTGTGTGTGTGTGTGTGTGTGTGTGTGTGTGTGTGTGTGTGTGTGTGCGCGTGGCACACGCACACATGTGCCTCTATAGCTCAAATGTCAATAATCTCAGGTGGGTCAACTGGGAGAGATTTTGAAAATGTGTTAAATTAATCAAAATGCAATGGGAAAAGTCCAGGTTTCTACTGCCCAGCACTGCTGGGATCACACTGAAGCAGTCGGACAATGGAGGGGTCGTTCTTCGCTCCCTCAACAAACTCCTCAAGAGACAGTTTACCTGGAAGAGGGAGAGGGAGACAGAGATTAGAGTTTGGATAATTATCTTGTTTATTTGCTGCAGCTGATCAAAAACAGTTTAAATAAAAAAAAAGGGTAGATATCTTCCAGGAAGTGATGCGACACTTTACTAACAAAGTTGTTTTAACAAGTCTTTTAAATGTTATTTATAGCAATGATTTTTTTTTGGATTCATTCATTCATTCACAGATGCTGACCGACGTTCTGTCTGAGTTTATATGCATCTTCAGACTCCTACAGTGAGTCTTGTGGTGGCACTGTGTTCCAGCTAATTCAACTCTAGTGACTGAACACTGCAGCTGAGCATTATCTGATGGCTCTTGTTTCCAAAGTCCACATTCTTTAAATTACATTTGGTTCCCGGCTTTAAAGACACTACTTTTTCAACACGAATCACTGCAGCAGAGTTAAAGGCCGTGAGGAAGTCTCACCATCTCGATTTGTGTCCATCTGCCTGAAGATCTTGTCTGTGCGTTTCTCAGGTGTGGACTCATCCTCAGGCATCTTCATCACAGAGGAAACCATCTTGTAAATGGCCTGAAGACAGACGGAACAGAGACAGAGAAATCAGAAACAAAAGGACCCTAAGATTACTATCAGTGTTTTGTCACTGTGTGTATTTTTCATTATTTATAGCAGTTATTCCGGGCAGAAGCATAACTGCTGATTTAGCTGGGCTGTTGCACAGTGCAGGAAAAAAAATATCTTAGTGAAATATATGTACCATCTATCCATCAACTTATCTCCTCTGGGAGGAAGCGAGATAAAGGATTACTTTCATTTATGTTTAGCTCTGCTGCCTGATTTGACTTCACAGAAACAAACAGGATGTATTCATTTTTAAAAGGAGGTACTTTTTTATTTATTTATTTTTTTTTAATTTTTTTTTTTTAAATTGGACAGTGGATCAAGAAAAGAGAACCGTGTTTGCCTCACTGTTTAGGTTGTCTGACATAACATTTAAAACAGCAGCAGTTAGTATTTGATAATATTCCCGGTCTATGTCACTGGATCTGAAATCTTGTTCACTGAAAAATGTATTTGGTCAAATTAAAAGAATTGAACAATAATTCAAAACAAAACTCAAAACACATGCATATGTATTGCAAAAAAACATCTACTTTCAATCTTAAGAAAACATCAAATATGATAGGAATAGATGCTGCTGCTGGGAACAATATTTCAACCTCTTGTCTGGCTGGGGAAAAAACACAGTTAGTGAAAGGGCTGCACTAATGGCAAACTTGTTTTTCATTTTCTACCCTGTTACTCCTGTACTATCATTCTTCACTGCCTCCACTCCTCTCCCTCCATTCCCAGGATCTTCCTGACAAACACTCACCACAGAACTGGTGCAGAATTTCCCGTAATGACAGTTTTCACACTTTATCTTCACTTTCAATACAGCGACTGTGCACCAGAACAGCTGGATACAGCTGCATCCATCACACAGACACAAACACCACCTACAAGAGTGATCAAGGCTGCAGGTATTAATTACGTTCATTATCAGCAAGTTAGTTATTATATTGATTTTTTTTTAAATTAGATGATCAATCAAGACTGAGCCGCAGCCACAAAGTCTAAAGTATTTAATTACATATAGTGATAGATGATCGAGCAACCCTTAGCTTTTGTGACGGAAGAGCAAATTAATGACATATACAGTTACGCTTATCTTAAGGTGGTGCTATTGTTATTTCGTTGCTTATTTGAGACTAGTTCTAAATATATATATATATATATATACACACATATGATAAAAAAAAGGTCACAGAAATGTTAAGTCAACAATAAATAATACTGGAGCTGAAACAATTAGTTGAGTAAATTGCATTTTATCAGCAAAAATGTGAAACATTCTGGGATTACAGTTGGATTCTGGGTATTTATGAAAATTATTATATTTTCTATTTTTTGTAGACCTCAAAATTAATAAATTGATCTAAAAAGTAATCTATAATAAAAAATAATCATTAGATGCTGCTCTATAAGGGACCAATGGATATTTTGCGAATGTATCAGAGCATAAACATAAACACACAGTCTCACTGTACACACATATTTTAAATAAAGAACACTGATTTGCAGAATGGGATTACACATTCTTTGGCACCGTGATGTGTGATATAACAACATGTGTGAGGAACTGCTGGGTGGTGTGTTTGTATCTGTCGCTCTGACAGAAGTCTGAGGATCAGAAGAGGACCGCTCCCTTCTAGAAATATACCACTGCCAAGTCTTATTTAGGTGCGTTTCAGGACCTGAGAGGAACTGCTGGTTTCTAAAATTACACAGCAGCTGGTTTCCCTGCTGTGGGCAGTCAAATGGTGCACAACACAGAAGCAGATGGATATATGATGTAGCAGCTGGTGTGGATGGCTGAGCAAAATGTTGCTTCAAAACAGGAGTAGTTTAAGTACTGGGCAGGATGATGTTACCATGATGGCATGCAACAACCACTGACAGACTGAGGGCTATACAAAGCTGAAGAGGCAGACAGTGTGAATAGATGAATAAATAGAATAGAATAAAGGATAAAGGGGAAAAAAAGATGGAAGAAAACTAAAAACTAAAACAAAGATCACCACATCAGACCCACCGTTACAATCTCCAGCATCTCTGCCTTGCTAATGTATCCGTTCCCATCCAGGTCGTACATACTGAATGCCCACTTCAGCTTCTGGTCCAGTCGACCACGTGAGGTCACACTCAGGGCAATGATGAACTCCCTGAAGTCTATAGTTCCGTCTCCATTGGCGTCAAAGGTGCGGAAGACATGTTCGGCGAACTTGGAGGCGTCTCCATAAGGGAAGAAGTTGGCGTAGATCTTCTTGAACTCCTCCATGGAGAGCGCACCGCTGGGGCAGTCCCGCAAGAAGCCCTTGTACCACTCGGTGATCTCATGCTCGGTGAAATCCGTGTTGTCCACCAGGTCCTGCATGACGTCGGGACGGAGCTTGCTGTTCTGTTTGCCCATGGTCGCTGCTTCTGTTGAGGCTGTGGCTGATGTGAGGGCGGCGGTGCTTTAGACTGCTGAGGAAGAAAATGAGAGACAGAAAGAGGTTGTTAGAAATCATCCAAAATGACCTTGAGCCTTTTTGATACAGACTGGGGAGGAAAGATGGGGAGGAAGGACGGTGATGTAACAATGGAAAGAAAAGGTACAGACACACATTAAACATAAAATAGCTGGATTAACCTCTGTTGAAGAGGTACCAGCTTCTGTTGTTCATATAAACAACTTTTGTTTTCTGCTCATGAAACACCACCAATACAACTTTGTTGACAGAAACTGGGGAAAGGTTTCCCACAAGACTGTGTAAGCCAACGGCAAAAAATACAAAAAACAAATCTTTATACGATAAAAGGAGTGTTATTTCACATAGTAAATATAATATATCTAATGAGTATTATTTCTTTTTACATGAGACAAAAAGATTCAGGATCTGCTTGGCTGACCTCCTCTGCTTTAAAATGACCTGTGAGAAACCCTGTAGGGAATTATGGGATGGAAGTGTCCTAAAATTATATATTGTTCTCACATAGAGATGGCATCGAAACTTTGGTAGAAGTGTTACCAAGTCCTGAGATGTCCTGAGCATCTGAAATTGGCAGAATTTTTTTTATTTTTTTAATCTTTGTTTCAGTTTTTTTAATTTTATTTTATGTATTTAAAGCATGTGGATAAGTTAATTGCCAGTTTTAAATTTATATTTTTTGCTGCCATGTTGTTCACTTTTGCCTTTATTTTCTGGACAATTTACTGGACAGTAAAAGGACTTAGGCTCCAGTCTTTATTGTAATCACGCCTGGTCTTATCTTTTTCATTTTGTTTGTTTCTGTTTCACGACAAATGCAAATAAATGTTATCACGAAAGCAATGCCTGTACACCAGATAAAGGAAAAGCAGGGAGAAAAAAGTTAGTAATGTAGTTTTGTGCAGATGCAGAGCCAAGCTGGTTCTCCCATGCACATGCAGCATGAGACCACCAAATCCTGTCAAGGTGCAAAACTACCACAGATGCACAACCACACCCACACTTACAGTGGCGCACACACACTGTTGATAACCCCAATGCATGCCAGTTCAGCTGTGCATGCATCTGTGCAGATGCACCTTCCATTTCCTGCAGGAACTCTGATGCTTCGATACACACATCCACATCCTCTGTATTAATAGTTGAGATAGTTTATTGACCTCTTATGGCTTTTGATGACGCATTTAAAAACTAAATCTGCAGAAACAGAGAGACTGTATCATAGTAAATCCTGAGTCCAATTTGACTTAAATGAAGCCACCAAGCTGTGTCTGACAAGAATCACATTCCTCTGTAACGAAAGCGAACACGGAGTCTGAACACTCAACAGAGGATGCACTTCATCATCTAACCCTGCAGCTAATGTACTTTGCACTTTTCCCCTGTCAGACCGCTAGTTGCTGCTGAGCTGTCCAGGCTAAAGACAAGAGGGAAGCTGTTCTAAGCTTAGCCGAGGATAATGACAGATAAAATCAGCAATGTCAGGTCAGGCTAAAGCAAATTACAGTACAGGTAGCTTGTTCCAGGAAGGGACGTAATGATCTGTCACCTCTGTGTTTCCAGTCAACGTTTGCAGTTTCTCTTACTTTGTTTAAAGACTCCAAAGCTAAAATGTAAAAAAAGCGTAGTTCATAAAATGTAATGAAACAAACAGGACAACAAATATGTTACTGCCTGACGAGAACTATTGGCTAAACTTAGTCTGAGCTGAGGTACATATTTACTTTTCTTTTTAAATAACAACACTACATGCAAATGATCCATCGACTGATCCAAGGCCAACTGAGAAAAGAGCCATCATGTTTACTTCCCTGGAAACTGGGTGCGTCAGTGGAAATATGCTCTCCTTGCCAATAAAAATGAATTTAGCATTAATGAAAAGTGCTGCTATAGTGGCAAACATAACAGGAAACACTTTAACAAAAAAGTCAAAAACCATGCAAGCAATGTACAAGCAGAGGGTAATAGAAACAAGACTATTACACACCAATTTATCTGGCAACTTTGGCATTTTAAGTGAAACTGTGCACAAATATTTGTAAGGAAGTGGGTCCGGTTTTAATTAAATTGCCTGCATTTTCATTAGTTTTGTGAACTGCTATCTGCCTGGACTCCATCCTCGACGGCCTGTATTCCGCTCACACACGCACTTGTTCCATAAACGGCCAGCTATAATCCTTTAATTAACTCAGAGTAAACAATGAGCTCTAGCAATGTGGCAGCCGCCTCTAATGAGTTCCCTGCCGTTACATATAGTTCACTTTAATGCCAGTGTGAATGCGAGGAGCGGCGTGGAGAGGAGCTTAACACCTGTTTTACACACTCGTCGCTCCTAGAACAAAACACATCAGGAGCTACACAGCGGGCATCCAGTGTGAACGGACTAGATGTGAGTCTGGCTTTAAAGTAGACAGAGGCAAACGGTCTGGACCTGATTTTGGTAGATACCTGTTTAAAAAGCTGAAATCTGAAAGGATCTGATCATGAAGCTATTACAGCTTTACATATGAATTTAATGCAGGGACACTGTTCATGTACCACTGAAACATGAGACTCATCACATTTGCACCTTTGGGCCTTTTTTCACAGCAGACCTTTTGACTGAGCCGACAAAGCTCAGCTGTAACAAATAATACTAATTGTGTGGCTCTGTTGAGGCGGTCGTTAGCAATGTTATTAATAACACCTGAGTTTTTTTCATGTCAAAATGTCTTTACCACCTGTGTATGTGCACAGGGTCTGAACAACTTTGGAAATATGTCTTTACCTGGGAAAGATTGGATGGCATCACTTAAAAATTAAAACTTCAAGGTTAGTTAATTAAATTATTAGTTCTTACACTTAATTCAAGTATTACTGATCCTAAAATAAAAAGCTGGCAACTTGTCAGCTGAATCCAATACTTGTTCAATTAGATTTGCTATATGAGCACAGTAGATCCTGTTATGTAGCAGCACACAGGCAAAATTGTTTGAAACAATTTTTTAAGAATAGACATGGAAAGTTAAATTTGTTTTCTCCCGTATTTAACTTCTACAAGAACATAAATACACGAAACAAAGGTCATGTACTTGAGAGAGACTCATCATATAATTTGTCATTTATTTTCCTCTTCAGTTTTGGTTCATTTGCATATTATCGATACATGGTCTGGCCCTGCGTTATGTTTCAGATCTTACAGAGACCCCTCACGTCCAAGAACCAAAGCTTTTTTTTAGCTCCACGGTCCAAACTCAAACTCTTGTATTTTCTGTGAGATTCTGAAGCACCTTTAACCTTTGAAATTCACTGTAGAATTAGAGTTTATTCTAACAACTTTTCTGCAGTATGCCACGCTTTATCTACCACACGTTTTCAGCTATCTTGCTCTCATCAGGACGGTGTAAGAGATAGTATATCAAACAACAATTCATTTTTCCACCCACTGTGTGTGCATTATTACACACACACACACACACACACACACACACACACACACACACCTAACCAGCCAGTCAACGTCATCCTGGCTACCTCCATTCATTTCATTCATAAACTCACTCTTTGTCTGTTGCGGTGACCAGTCCATCACATACTCTGCAATCTGCACTTTAAGTGCTTAATGGATTGTGGAGTGTTTCTATGATTACTGAGGCCACGTTGTCATGACGACTGACCATACTTGCTCTTGTTTTTTGGCAACTTGTGGGCAAGAAAACATATTAATTTACATAGCGCCTTTGAGCCCCAACAGCATTTAAAAACACTTTCTGCAAAGATTGTTGGCTTGTTAAATTGTTTGCTTTTAGCTGCGGTCCTAATCACAGACTCCTTCTATCCAAACAGTTTACACATTAATGTGGAGGAACAGAGCCGACTGAAATGTTTCTCTCCCTCCATTACTCTAAAAGAAGGGGAGCAATTAATTAGAGTTGGTCTCGATAGCTTTACATCAACAACACCACATGAGCTACAGGATGAATTGAGTCAGACATTTGACATTTGAAACACTTTTTAACAAGAGCTGGGGGTAAATATTATTTTATAATCGATCTGATGATGGTTTTTTCCCCCAATTGTTTTGTCTATAAAATGTCAGAAAATAGAAAAAAAAAAATCACCATCACAATTTTCAAAAGGACAAGGTGACATCTTAAAATTGCTTCCTCTTTCCTGTCCAATTGTTTAAACAGAAAAGCAGCAAATCACAGTCACAGCTGGAATAGCAGCTGGAATTAGATAATGTTTGGCATTTGTGTTGATAAATGGACAATACTTCACTTTAAGTCCCCTCGTTTAACATTTATAAGCAGGGTGTACACAGATAGATGGTTTAAACACACTATAAGGCTGTTTTAAGCAGATATAATTATAACTTCTCCTATGAAGACATTTCTTTATCATTACAACTGTTTAATATAAATCTTATATGTATACATCAGATCTTCATTATCATGTGCACACAGCAAAAGCTATAGTTGTTGAAAAACATCAATAACATTTATACCTGCTTAAAAACCACATTATAGTGTTATAAAGCATTTATTAGATGTTTATGTATAAACTGCTGATGAATGCTGAATACAGGTGGTTATATTAAAGTGGCTTTTTTAAGTGGCTAAAACATGTTTTCTGCGATGTACTGTTCATCCAGAACAGTACATCGCTCGGCTTCTGCCAGTACTCGTATCTACTTCTCTAAACTGGGAACACACCGATCCAAAACTACAGCAGGTAATGCACTGACTACTTCACACAACCCCATGTTAAATACCCTGAGCTATCCCTTTAAAGTGTTACCTGTTTGTTCTGCCTCTATATGTTTTAACTGAAGACTAAAGCTCACTTTAGAAGCAGGTTGTTTATTGATTGTAAGGATGCTGGTTCAATCCCCAGCTCCTCCTGTGCTCCACGTGTACAGTTTTGGACAAAAGTGTCTGAAAAATTAACTTGATTTAAT